ATGACCTGAGCCGAAGGCAGTCACCCAACCAACTGAGCCACCCAGGCGCCCCTTTATGGGTTTTTTTTAAGATGTATTTATTTTGGAGAGAGAGAGCATGCATGCGCGCGCACGACTGGAGGAGGGGCAGACGGAGAGAAACTTCAAGCCGACTCCCCACTAAACATGAAGCCCCACACAGAACTTGATCTCAGGACCCATGAGATCACGACCTGAGCCACCAAGAGTCGGACGCTTAACCCACTGAGCTACCTAGGCACCCCTGTTTTATGGGGTTTTTTTAATGACAAGAGGGAGCTATATTAAGATGCTGCCACTCTTGAGGCGCCTGGATGGCTGGCTCAGTCAGTTAAGCATCTGCCTTCGGCTCGGGTCACGATCCCAGGGTCTTAGGATCTGGGATGGAGCTGGCATGGGGCACCCTGCTCAGTGGGGGGCCTGCTTCTCCCTCTCCCCCTGCTTGTGCTGTCAAATAAATAAATAAATAATCTTTAAAGTTGATGTTAAAAAAAAAGATGCTGTCATTCTCTGTACAGCCAAGATAGTTATCAAAAATGAAAGATAATTCTGTTACTATGGATTGAGTTTGAGGAATGTCATTTGGAATTTGTACTCTTCTGGGAGCTACACTGTTATACAGAAGTTATGACACTGCAGATGCTGAGTACTAGCCATATATTTTAAGTGTGTGGGTAGCATATTAAAGTGTGCAAGTTGTGACAAAAGTTATAAAAATATCCCAAAGCATTTAAAACTGCTAGAGGGATTAAGTTGGCTAAGTACATGCAAGTATGATGTGTTTCTGGCATCTCAAGAACCCCTTGAGCAGTAAAGCCTCTCAGCTGCTCATGAAATACCCAGTCTGTGTGCAGGGTTTAGCCTGAGCCAGACTTGCATCTACTTTGAATTTTAGTTGTGAACCATCTTGGGAAGGCATCACAGCCAGAATGCAATGTTTCTGGTCAGTTGTGGGTGTTAAAATCCCTCCAATTGAGCGACGGAGATGATATTAGAGGAAGCCCCATGCCTTTTCCACTGTCACTAATGGACTGGAAGCCGGCTGCTGAGATAGGTGTGTGAACTACTGTGCAAGAAAGGCCCTCTCCTTTCCCCCAAATGAAACAAACAAATTAATGATTAATAGTGATCACAGGCAGATCCAGGTTTTGAGGGGCCTGAAGCTCATGATTTGGGTGTCCTCTTTAAGAAACAAGGATGCAAAATTACCAATACAAGACACAGTATGAAGCTATTTATCCAGAATGAGAAGCAGAAGGCACCTGCAGTTGTAAGGTCATAAAGCATGAGGGTCGCCAGCTACCGGGTAAATCCACCTCTGCTCACGACCAACTACTGGGAAGAAGGTGTGGAAAGGGAGAAACAGTAGGTAATCAGGCAGAGGGAAAATAAAAGACAAAACACTCCTTAAGGAATAGTGGAGCACAGAACAAGAAAAGGACAAAGATAAAATCCCAGAAAGAACCCCAAATTGTGAAAGCGGACGGTATGGAGATGGGGGAAGAGAGAGAACCAATCAATTTATACACCACACAATCAGAACATTGATTTCCCAGTGATCAACAATCACATTGCTTCTAGGAGGCATGCATGGGAGGACTAGGTTTTTGGAAAGACCAGTTCTCTTCACTGCAGGCACTCGGCAAGTGTTTGTTGAATGAATGAAGGGATGAATGAATAGAAACAAGAGAAATATACTTCTTTTTCTTACTCTCCACCACGGTCTGCTTTCCTCCGATGCTCCAACATACAGGCATGTTTTTGCTAGCACTGGCTTCAGTGTCAAAGCAACAGCTCAGGCCAACCTCTCCTCTGGCGATTCAGACTATTGATCCTCAAGAGACCAAGTCAAAAGCTATCTCCACTCAAAATTAATTTTTAAGCATGTTCAGAGTCTCCCCCCCACAAAAATTACACATACAAATAGCTACTATGGGGCCATCCTACCTACTCCCTTCCACCTTCTTTCTCCCTCTTTCTACATTAGATCCTGCAGGTATATTTCAGAAATTAACACCCTCCCAGGTCCTGGGCAGATTCATGTGGGATTCTAGCTAGGGCTGAAACACAATTCCTAAATTTCAAATTTTAGCAATTATGACAGCCTATGTGACAATTGAATATATCAGTCATGATGAGGTTTCCAGGAAGATACAGGCAAGCCTCATGCACTTGGTCAGCTGCAAACCTAAGACAGGACCAGGGGAACCCAGACTCACCAGCTCCATACAGGACAGGATTCGGTCACTGGGAGCTCTTATGAAAGGACACAACAGGGCATTCCCTGACCAGCTGTGGGCCTCTGCTTCACAAAGAGATTCCCTTTGGGCAATACATGCCCTACACCTTCCTACAAGTTCTAAAAAAAAAAAACAAAACAGCCGGAGTAGGTTAAAACTAAGAGCCCACCCTCTCTCCTTTAAAAAAAAAACAAACAAAAAAACTTTTACTAAACGATTCTTCCTTCCTCTTCACTTACCAAATTTTCTAAGGAAAAGTGCTTGGAGAAGAGCAGAACCAGAATAACACTAATACTACTTCAATACTACAAAAATCCCAACACTGATGTTTTGTTTATGGCAAAGGACCTGAAATCAGTGAGGCGAAGCAGCCACCTCAGGGATTAGAAGTGAAGGTCTTGAATGGAAAAAAAATCATTCGGCCACTTTCTGGCTAAGTGGTCTGACCTCTGGAAAGTTACTGAAAGTCTCCAGACCTCAGTTACTTGGTTTTGTAAAACGGGGGCGAGTACCCATCTCACAGGACTGCTGAGGATTGAGAAAATGCAAGTAAAGTACCGAATATAACTGCACAGCGAGAGCTAATTAAATGCTAGTATTTAATAGTAGTAGTAAAATTATTGTTCTGTCCAGTTCACACCACCAGCAAAACTGGCCCAACCCCCACTCTCGCCTCGCAGGATCCGGGGCCGGGCACTGTTGCACTCCAGCATGCATGAGAGAGATCCCCAAATGCTGCGGCGCTACGGCAAGCCCCCCACCCCGGGCCGGCCAGGGGCCCTCAGGTTACCGCTACGGTCCATACTGACCTGAGATGCCGCCTCCTATCACGACTACGTCGAACATGTGGCCCGCGGTGCTCGCCGTCTCCCCACTCGCCATGCTCTGGTTGCGACTCTCCCGGGGCGTAGGTAGAGGAGTGGAGCGGGACAAGGGCGGGGCGGACCCTTCTACCCACTCTCGGGGGGAGTCCGGGGGCGGAGCCGATTCTTCCACTGACACCCGGGCAGAGCCCGGCACTGAGGGCGGAGCGGCCCCTTGTACTACTCCTCCAGGGGAGTCCGAGGGTGGAGCCGATCCTTCCGTGGATGTTCGGGGGGCACCTGGCACTGAGGGCTGGGTGGACCCTTGTGCCGACCCTCGGGAGGAGTTCCTGGGCGTAAGAGGTTCTTGTACCGAATCCCGGGGGGAGCCGGGCACTGAGGGCTGGGTGGACCCTTGTGCCGACCCTCCGGGGTTGTTCCTGGGCGCGAGAGGTCCTTGTACCGAATCCCGGGGGAAGCCGGGCACTGAGGGCGGGGTGGATCCTTGCACCGACGCTCGGGAGGACTCCGAGAACTGGGGCGATCCCTGCTGCGAAGCCGGGAGGGAGCTGAGCTCTGAGGGCGGGGCGGACCCTTGCACCGACACTCGGGAGGAGTCCCAGATCGGGGCAAATCCTGGCAGCGAACTCCGGGGGGAGTTGAGCACTGAGGGTGGGGCGGACCCTTGCATCGACACTCGGGAGGAGTCCGAGAGCACAACAGATCCGTCCACTGATAGTCGGGGGGAGCGGGGTCCTGAGAACTGCAAGGACCCTTGCAATGACTCTACGGGGGAGTTATTGGGTGCGGGAGGTCCTCGCACCGAACTCCAGGAGGAGCTGATCACTGAGGGCGGGGCGATCCCGTCTGCTGACACTTGGGGATTGGTACTGGGTGGACGAGGTGCTGGCATCGATACCTTGAGGAAGCCGGCCGTCAAGGGCGGGCCAGAACCTTGCACTGGCTCTCGGGTAGAGTTGGTGGATGTAGGAGGTCCTGGTACTGATACTCGGGGATGGCCGAGCACTGCGGGCGGGGTGGACTCAGGTATTGACCCTAGAGGGGGGCCTGAGGGCGGGGCAGGTCCTGGTATCGGTACCCGGGGATGGCCTGCGTCCGGGTTGGAGGCTGCGGCGGCCCCATCAGCGGTGCTCAGGCCGGTGGCAGACATGGGGATCTGGTGGTTCAGGCCGTGGGCGCCGAAGCCCCAGAGGCCAATCCTAGAGTCTGTGTTGGTCCTCGGGCCAGGACTGGAGAGGAGTTGGGCGGGCGCGCCGGAGCTCTTCTCGTATCCGGGGTCCGCTCTGGACGCGTTCGACAGGAAGCTGGAAAACGGACTGGAAGTCCGCCACTCAGAACCGATGCTCGACCCGGACGCGGAGGATGTGGCCGCGCCCAAGCTGGAGTCGGGGTCGGAGATCTGGGCAGCTGTGCCCCCGGCTCCGGGCGCGCGCTCCGCCTCGCTGCCCCTCTCGCCGCCACCACCTCCGGAGGCGGCCGAACCGTTTGTGCTCATGGTTCTGGAGCGCGCCCGGGCGGGAGCCGACATTCTGCTCCCCGCCCCTCTCCTACGGGCGCGCGCCTCGCCAGCTCCCCGGGGTCTCGGCCCCGCGCGCTCCCGAGGCCGCCCCAGTATCCCAGCCTACTGGGTGGCGGGGGAGCCTAGGGCTACCGCAGCTTGGCTCCGCCTATTTCTCCGGCTCCGAGGGGCAGGCGACGCCACCGAAGGGCGCTGCGGCGGCCCCGTGGGGGTTTCAGCCTAGTGCTTTTATTCTCAGCGCCATAACTAAAAGAGGACTGGGCCAGGTGGGCTAAGGGAAGCGGGTATTTGAAGGACGGGGACCTGGACGGCAGGGTCGCAGGGGTGCGGCACACTAGGGTGGGCTCCTTTGTGACGTCACAAGAGGCTGGGTGAGGTGTGCGCAGCCGCGGGCCCCTCCCTAGGGAGGGGGCGGGGTGAAGTGGGCACTGTCACTTGGGGCCGACTGGGCGATTATTGATTCTTTGTGGGGTTGTCCAAGCTGAGGTGCTTGACCCAAATCGAAGCAAGTAGGGGAGAAAATTAAGAACTCACTTATCAGGGGCGGCTGGGTGGCTCAGTTGGTGAAGCCTCTGCCTTCGGTTCAGGTCATGATCCCAGGATCTTGGGACGGAGCCCCCATCAGGCTCTCTGCTCAGCGGGGAATCTGCTTTTCCATCTGCCAACACCCCCCTTATGTGCTCTCTCTCTCTCTCAAATAAGTAAATAAAGTCTTTAAAAACAAAACAAAACAAAAACCCCTCAGCTGTCAGATTAAGTGGGACCTGCACTTTAAAAGTGAAGATAAGGGCTGAAATAAAGCAAAAAAACAGGTGTTTTCCCATCCTACCAAAAAGAGAGATATTTAGTGAACATATTTTACTGTACAACAAGCGTCTTGCTAGTTTTATCCCTTCTTTAAATTTCCACTTTATCCTCCTAGAGCTGATTTTGTCATCACTAGAACCCTCAAAACAGATATAATTATAACATCTAGAGTAAGTGGTGAGAACTCCAGGAAGTTAACTAGAATCCGTGCCCACCTATAAATATTTCTCCTTGCTCCCCCCAATTGTGTACCAAACAATCTTGTTGAAGAAACTGTAAGGGAATATAGATATAGTCTTTTCTTTATCCAGTTTTTTAAAGATTTTTTTTTAATGTATTTGAGAGAGAGAGCATAAGGGGGTGCAGAGGGAGAGGGAGAAGCACACCGCTGCTGAGCTGGGGTGTGTTAGATCTTGTTAGACTCTGAAGCGAAGAAAGAGGAAATAATAGATATAAAGAATTCAGACCTTTCTAATATGATTCTTCCAACTTTGTCCTTATCCCTGTTATGTTTATTTCTTTTCATTCAAATATTTGATTTCATACTATGTGCTAGGCACAGGGCAAAGTACTGGGGTTGCACAGGCAACACAAGACAGCCAAAGCACTTCATCCTACAGTCTGCTAGAGGAGCTAGTGAAGGAGACAGGCAACCACATGCTTGATGTGTTCAAGTAAGCTCTGATAAATGTTATGTTGGAAAGGTTCCTAGTAATAAGAAAGTGTTAGGGTCCCTTGACCACTCCGGAGGTTAACTTTGGGGACGTGTGTAAAAATATCCCAGAAAGGGCCTGGGTGGCTCAGGTGGTTGAGCGTCTGCCTTCGGCTGGGGTCATGATCTCAGGGTCCTGGGATCGAGCCCCATTGGGCTCCATGCTCAGCAGGGAATTTGTGCTCCCTGTCTCCCTCTGTACCCGCCCCCGCTCGTGTTTGCACGCACTCTCTATCTCAAATAAATAAATAAAATCTTGAAAAAAAAAAAAAGTCCCCAAAAGAGGGAACAATGTGGGCAAAGGCCCAGTGGTAGAAAGAAGCATGGTTCCTTGGCGAAGCTGAAAGCCAGACAGTGGAGCTAAGCAAGGGGAAGAAAGGAGCACAGAAGACAAAACTGCTGAGGTTAGCTGGGCCAAAGTAAGACCCTTGGTCTGTATTCTAAAGCAGTGGAAGCCATTGCAAGGTTTTAAGCAAGGGGTGATACGACTAGGTTGCATTTTGAAAAGGTCTGTCTGCCTGCTGTGTAAATAATGGGTTGAAGGGGACAAGGGTAGATAGATACAGGGAGACCAAAGCTTGGAATTCTTCAAAGAAAGAGGTGATAGTGTCTTGGACTAAGGTGGGTGATGGCAGCTGGAGAGCTGTGGACATATTAGAGACACTTACATGTAAAATTGACAAGACTTGGTTGTGGCTAGAACCTGGAAGATCATGAGGCTAGTTTTGGACATGTTCAGTTTCAAGTGACTTTGAGACATCCAGATGAAGGTTAGAGAGTAGACAATTAAACATAGAGCCTGAGATGAAAAGCAGGAGTTTGCCTGGAGACAAAAATGTGGGATTCTTATTAAATAAATAGTGGATGGGTTAGATGAGTGGGAATATGGGTATTCTCTTCATTTTATTTGTTTGTATTGCATATTTTGCATATCTTTTGTAATAAAAACAATAAAAGTTATTTTAAAATAGATAAATAAAGGAACAATTTCGACATACCCTACAATTATTATTTCTTCCCTTGTGTGACCCTGGGGAAATTACTTAGCTTCTCTGTGCCTATCTCTTCAAATATAGGATCTCGTAAGCCGTTGTATCTGTCAGGGTTCCAGGAGGAAACAGCAAACTCTAATTAGATCATTTGAAGAGATTATCAAAAAGGAAATATTTTAGGGGCGCCTGGGGTGGCTCAGTTGGTTGAGCGTCTGCCTTCGGCTCAGGTCATGATCCCAGAGTCCTGGGATCGAGCCCCGCATCGGGCTCCCTGCTTGGCGGGGAGCCTGCTTCTCCCTCTTCCCCTGCTCGTGCTCTCTCTCTCTTTCAAATAAATAAATAAAATCTTTAAAAAAAATTAAAAAAGGAAATATTTTAAAAGAGGTAGGCAAGATGAAGAGAAACCACAGGGAATCACGCCGTATCCCCAGGCAGGTGAGAGCAAGAAGGCATCATTGTGAAGGGGTAAAGGGAGAGAACAGTTATCAGAACCTGGTGACAGTGGTGTTTGGTGGGGGCTGCCTACACAACCTGTGGCCTTTAGTTCAGGGAGGCTTTCAGCCACAGGAAACTCACAGAGAGGGAGCCAGGACAAATAATACCCAAATTTCCTTTCTTGCCTCCCCCGGTCCTCTCCATTGACCTACGCCAACCAGACGCTAGAAGGCAAGGGATCCTGTTGATGCAGCCCATACCAGTTAGAAGAAGCTGGAGAAAAGCAGTGGGTGCACCCGGAAGGGCCAAGGGAAGATATCCAGTATCCTCGTAGTGAGGGTTCAATGGGAAAATACAAAAAACTTAGATAATGATTCAATACATACTCACATTTTAATTTCTAAAAACTGCATTATATTCGTGTCATGGACGTACTTTACTGGACTGTTATCCTCTAACATGAAGCATGTAATACTTTCTAATTGAATACTTTCTAAATGAATATTTCTGTGCATAAAATATTGTACATACTTTTTTAGAATTTCCTTGAGATAGAGTCCTAAAACCCCTAAAATTATGGGGTAAGAGAGTGGGAGCTTTTCTAAAGCTCTTTGATTGAAGTCACCAAATTACTTGCCCAAGAGATCATACAAATTTATACTTCAACAAAGTCTAAGAATGACAGTCTAGGGCCGTAGGATCTGAACAAAGCTCTCATTGCTCCTTCAAAAAAAGAAAAAAAAATGGCTAAGTTCTTACTGCCCCCACTCTCATATTAAGCCATTAAGGAAGCTAACTTTTTAAACTTTCTTAACTTGAAAGGGTAAAAACCAGCATGGCTTTGCTATTTGCAAGAGTGTTTCTTTGATTACTGATCAAACACTTTTTTTTCAGATATTTATTAGCCATTTCAATTTCTTCTTTTGTGAATGATCAGTTCATGCCTTTATGTAGTTGATTTCTGTAAGTGATTTGTACAATAAGATATTAACCCCTTGCTTGGTATTTTCACTGCAGATAGTTTATTCCAATTTATATTTTAGTATTGTTTATGGCATTGTACATAAGCAGAAATTTAAAGTTTGTGTGCTTGTATCTATCTTTTAGTAATTTCTTCCATCGCTTTTAAACTTACAGATCTGAAGGATGAATTCTGTTTCCTTTTTTTTTTATGATTGGTTATTTTAGAATTTATTTAATCCTAGTCTACTGGGATATATTTTGTTATGTCATGGGGTGAGGATCTAAATAGACATTCCATCTCGGGTTTCAGCAGCAAATAAATAAATAGACACCCCACACACCCCCAAACAGTTAACCACTCATAACAAAACTGTCTATTGAAAAATCCTTCCAGGGGCACCTGGGTGGCTCAGTCGGTGGAGCGTCTGCCTTCGGTCATGATCCCGGAGTCCTGGGATCAGCCCTTGTCCGGCTCCCTGCTCCGTGGAGAGTCTGCTTCTCCCTCTCCCTCTGCTCCTCCCCCTGCTTGTGCTCTTTCACTCTCTCTTTCTCCCTCTCTTGCTCTCTCAAAATGAATAAGTAAAATCTTTTAAAAAAAAAAAAGAAGAAGAAGAAAAGAAAAATCCTTCCATTTTTCATGGATTTGCTTACCTTATATAACATAAATACTGAGATCTGGCTTTGGACCATCTCTTCGGTTATATTTACATGCATATTCTCTCCACATTGCTACCAATGTCACATTGATTTACTTATAGCTGCTTCATAGTAGATTTTACCAGATAGAAGGATTAGTCCCTTCCAATACTCTTCTTTATAAATTATTTATGATATTCTTACATCTTCTTTCTGTCAATATATTCCTATATATTTAAATGAATTTTAGAATCATTTCATCAATTAAT